GGGGGGGGGTCGGCGACCTTGCTGGAGCCTCTTTATCCATGCTCACGTTTGTATCAGCGGCGGGGCGGGGCGGGGCGGGCGCGACTCTTGTCTGAGCCGACCTTGGCACTGAAGGGGCACCGCGCCGCGCTGACAGGCGGCACGCCCGCTCATGGTAATGAGTCAGACAGAGGCGGGCTGCCGCTGGGCTGCGCCGCCGCCGTGGCGATGAGTCTCGCGAGAGAGGCCGAGGCGACACCCGCACCATCGTATGCGCCCTGCACCAGCACGTCACACGAGGAATGCATGCCCACGAGTGCCGTCCCGCTCCGCCCCGCCCCGCCCCGCCCAGGGCACGAGAACAAACACGTTACTTAATCCCCCCCCTCCCCGCCAACACCCCTCTCATTCATCGAAAGACATTCCGCGCGGAACTATATTTCTGCCTCTTTTGGAATTCCCCCCGTTGGCTCGCAGCCGGCCGCCGCGCTTATGGTTTAGAGATTGCCATCACTGGTCGAGAAAAATCGAAATGACGCTACGCCTTTTTTATTTATTCATTTTTTTCCGTCGTGTCCGTAATATTCTCGTGATTTCCGACGGTGTCCGCCGCTGCTGTGTCTACCGCGCCTCCCGGCACGTGTCAAAGCGTGCGGGCGGCGGCCGTCGCTGGTGTGACTGATTCGACTGCACTGCCGAGGGGAGTGCAGCAGATAAGGCCCTCTGCTGTTGCTGGTGGGAGAGGAGTCGGACTCAACATCCAATAATTGATTTCCTCTATGGCCTCTGGCTCGATTAGAACCACTATAAATCTTCACTGTATATATTTTTAGCAGATGATACATATGGAACATTTTTTTTCCAGTGCCTGTGTTGGGCAGGCCGGGCCGATTGCCGATTGTTCGACCACGACCACGGCTGGGGCTCTGGGCTGCGGCCCACCCTCGATCCCTCTGAAAATAGCACCCTCCTCGGCGCGGTCGGCAGCCGGCCTGCGGTGTTAACGCGCCCGCTCCAAAACAGCGCGGCGCGGCGGGGCGGGGCGGGGCGGGGCGAGGGCTGATGGCGGCCCAAACTGTTTCCGATCAGACCTTGAGAAGTTCGAGTGCAAGTGCTAAAATTAACCCCTGCGCAGGCGCGCCCACCCCACGCTCCTGAGGGTTGCCGCTGGCCGTTCGCGCCCCAAAACGAGGAACGGTCTGCGCGGCATCTCGAGTTCGGCGCGTGACCACACGGTGGTCGCGCTCTCCTCGACTATCGCCGAGCAACCCGTTCGGCGTCGTCTTGGGAGTATTTTTGATGGCCACTTCGGACCGTTCTCCTCGTTGTGGTAATATTCAATGCGGCCTCTCCCCCTCTCCCTTCCTCCCTGCCACAGAGGGCGACGCGCCGGTGCCATCCCGTGGCGAACGACGCCGCCGGCTGGCGTTCAACCCTCCGCAGCGACCGCGGACGCGACTTTTTCGATGCGCTTATCGAACAATCGGGGCCCCTCCCTAGCCTTACGTGTGCTCGTCCTCGCGGCGGACGGCGGCCTGGTTCGTCGCTGAAGTTGCTGCCCTCGTCGGCGTCCTGGTGGTGCAAGGATGCGAGGGGGGCGCCATTGGGGTGACGCCCCGTTACACGAGCACCGCGACGAACGACGACGCCGTCCTCTCGAGCAACAGTGCAGCAGCAGACACACGCAGCAGCCCGCGACGGGAACCTAACATCGCCCTGGCACGCCCCGTCGCCATGACGACCCACAGGTCCTTTGGCGCGCTCGCGTTCGAACGGCCCTGACCCCCGGGAGGAGGGAGGGGTCGCAGGGACGCCGCCGACCCGGCCTGCCGGGGGCCTTCCCTTCCCTCCGCCTCATCGGCTGGGTGGGTGCCACCCCACCTGGAGCCGCCATCAAAAGGGATCTGGCGGGGCGGGCGGGGCATGTGTGTGTCGGTTGGTGTCGGTGTTTGTGTGGCGAAGGCACCCCGCGGCACAGCTGCTGGTGCAGGTAGTAAAACTAACATTACTATGTTTACACCGCGGAGGCTAGCCCGTGCTATGTCGGTGGTGGGGGAAGTTGGCCCCGGCGTAAACGGCGCGGAGCCAGCGATGGCCAGCCGCTCGCTAGCACGCGCTAGCCTGCCCCCCTCCACCGCTCTGCTTGGTCTAGCCCCGGAGTAAACGCGTTTCGCCCGGGCTATCTCCGGCTGGACTTTTAAAATACCCGATATTTGTGTATTGCACTTGGCATTTCGGTGTGGCTTTCGTACCCCAACAGGAAATAAATCCCCTATTCGACCCAGAGCCTCAATTCTCACTATCGTCTTCAATACACCTTGATATATCTAAGATACTGTAAATATTTCAAAAATTGTTGCTATCACGTATATCCTATAGATAAATGATGTGAGTAGTAAGCAGTTAAATATTCTACACCCGCTGATTTGCAAACCGTGTACCGGGAGAAGTATTTTACCCTAAAATACTTGGTTTGATCGTCGAGATTTGAAAACCGCGCTCTTTTTCATCAGCTGGCCCACACGGGGTAAACGCACCGCCGCCAGCCCGGGCTAGCGCTGGCCCGGGCCAGCGTTCTACGGCGTAAACATAGTACAGTAGACTGTAAACGGAGGCAATGTGCACCGTGCTGACCCCGTGGCCCCGCCCCGCCCCTCCGCGCCTGCCAAGACCTGCTCGCTGCGTCCCGTCCGCATTTCAGTCTGTGCTGTTCAGTTCCTCCCAGCTCTCCTTCGCTTCCCTTCGGTTTCGCAGTAGTTCTTCGCATTCGCACTTTGCAGGTTCGCGGCGCCGAGCCGATCTGGTCTGGTCTAGCCCCGCCCACTTCCCCCCTTCCCCCCTTCCGCAGCCCACAGCCCCTGCCCCCTCCCACCCTAGAAGGCGGCGGCTCGTGCCTCAGTCTCTTTGCGCCAAGTTTCCAAGGCAGTGCTCGCCAGGAAAATATGTCAGCTGCTGGTGATGTCTTGTTTATTTCGTTTTTGGAGTTCTCGTGCCAAAATCTGCAGTTGTCGCGAAAATGGACATTTGTTTGTTGACGAAAACAGTGCTTGTTTATAATTTATGCAGTGTGTTGAAGTGATTCTCCGTGAAAATGGGCGTGGGACTGCAGCCCTTGGAGTTTACTGACTGTTTGACGGATAGCCCGTACTTCAGAGAAAACCTCCATGCCCACGAAAAGGAGTTGGAGAAGACTAGTCAGCAGATTAAGAGACTCATCAAGGAAGTAAAGGATTTACTCGGGGCGGCCAAGAGTAAGTGCCGAAATTTCAACATTTGTGTGCGTCGTTGTCCACCATACTCGGGGGAATTGAGATTCGAGCTTCTATTGTGAAATGATTGCTCTCTCAAGCTCTGGGTTCTGTTATGCCTGTTTCTCTCGTTTTATGGTAGTTTCGTAAAATATATTGCATTATCTAATGATGATTTCATGGTTATGTTTAATGACATTTTGAATCTTTAATATTATGTTAGCAAAATTGTGTCAATATTTACCTATAGAATGCCACGAAAAGTGATCAATGAATGGGACTGATGAATGAAAAATGACATTATCTTCATAATTCAGTTCCACTTGCATTATTTTATGTTGATTATATGGACTAAGGAAATATTTTTGAGGTCTGGTTGATGGCTGTTGGTCTTTGCAGGAGTTTCATTGAAGTTTGTAATCTATTTCCAGACCTTTCCCGTGCTCAGCGTACCCTCTCAAATAGTCTGAAGAATTTCAGCTTTGATTGCATTGGAACTTCACAAACCGATGATGAAGTCGTTATCTCTAAGTCTTTGGCCCAATTCGGTCAGCTCATTGCATCTATTGAAGATGAACGAGACAGAATGGTATGTTTATACAATATTATTTGAGTGGTCCTTTCCAGTATTGAGATGGTTTTCCTTGTGTGCAGCATAGTAAAATATTAAAGTCAATATTATTTCTTTTCCCATGCCCTTAGAATTAATATCAGAGTGTTCCCTATACATATCTATCAAGTACTTAGATACTTACTGATTGTGGATTGTAACTGTACTCATTCACATGTGTCTGCTTCTAACCCCTTCTCACTTTTTGTCTATTTTTACGAACGTATCTGAAATATTTTAATTGTTTGGTTTGGTTGGTATTGAGCACAAAATCAGTTTCAGACACACTGTGGTAGTTCTCATTTTCCCTTTGATACCTAAAAATTTAAAAAATTGTGTGTGCTTATCCTATTCTTGCTGCCAGGAATGCTCCTTTGAGCAGATTCTGTAGGTAAATGGGAATTGCATTTACCTGGTGAGATCTTTTGCTCTCTATTTTATTTTGAAGTAGTAGTCGTAGAAGCATTTAGTAGTTTTTGCTTGCGATATTGTTTTAGGCTTAACAAACTCAAATTTACTTGAAGTTTGAATAGAATGGAAATAAAGAACATGTTGTAATGATTTTTATTTGATTTCATTTTACTTTCAGCTTGAACGAGCTTACGATCAGATTATTGTGCCACTGGACCAGTTCCGAAAAGTTCACATTGGAGGAGTTAAGGCTAGTTATCTGTCTTTATTCTTGTCTCTATAAATTTAATTTTAACCCATTAAAGTGATGTGTTATACATTTTTTTTAAATATTTTTTTTTGTGATTAGGAAGGAAAGAAGAAGTTTGACAAACAGACAGCCAAGTTCTGTCAAAGTCAGGAGCGGTATCTCAACCTATCTACCAAAAAACAGGATGCTGTTTTGCAGGAAGCTGATGCCTCTTTGCAATTGGAACAGCGATACTTTTGCCAAGCTAGTCTTGAGTATGTTTTTGTGCTTCAAGAAGCCCAGGAACGCAAAAAATTTGAATTTGTAGAAACAGTAAGCATTGGAACATTGGAGCATTAATCACCTCATAAATCAGGTATTTGTGTAGTACTTACTAATTATCTTATTACTTTCAGCTGCTGAGTTTTATGTTTAGCTGGCTCACATTTTATCATCAAGGCCATGAAGTTGCTGAAGATTTTAAACCATACATGCGTGAACTTCAAATTCGTATTCAAAAGGTGAGTGGAGTACCTTATTCTGTTATCCCTTTTACTCTCTCTTGTTATATGTTTCATTAAGATACCCCAGCCAATTTGCTTTACCTTAGTTTTTAAATGGTGTCTAGAAATTAAATTTGCAACTGGCCCAGATGAAAATACCCCTATTCTGGTAGGATTGAAGTGGAAGGTGAAGGACCAATCAAGGCACCCCGTATGTAATAGTTTGCCACCAATAATGTTTGATTCAACACTTGTAGTTACCTTTCTAAAGCATTGCATTTAACCTCTGTCTGTTTCTTTGACTCTGTACTGCTAACACCTTTGTGCAAATTAGGTTATTACATTTTCCCATCTCACATAATAATCGTCACTATCTCATTATGTTTTGTAGTATGTTCTGAGTGATTTTTTTTCATGCATTAACCTGTTTGAAGTTTAATTTGCATGGGTTTAAATAAGAGCAAAGAATTGGAGGAAGGCAACAAGGAATGTGTATTTGTAAAATGTGCATTTGTATTTGCGTTTTTTTTTTTGTTGTTTTTTTTCTCTAATCTAGCTTTTTGTGATATTTTCTATCTGTTTCCTTAAATGTTATCTTGTTGTTCTAGACTAGAGAAAATTTTGAGGAAACAAGAGATAAAACTGAGTCACTTATGAAAAAAATGCAAGAAATGAGGCAAACAAAACCAGTTGAGGCTGGAGTAACAAACAAGACCTACACCCGAGAAGGGTATCTGTTCATGATGGAAAAAAGTTTGTACTTTAAAATTACAGTTAAACTGCAATTTATTGTGTTTCATACTTCATATGTTTTGTTTATTTTAAAATAAAATTCTCCTTTATTTTCAGAGGCCTTTGGAACAACATGGAGCAAACAGTATTGCATGTACCAGAGAGATAAAAAGGAATTTATTATGATACCTTACAACCAGATGACTGGGAAATTTGTAAGTATCACAGTCTTTTTTTATCTAATTGCTATGTATGATAAATTTTCTTACACTCTTACACTTTTACCAGAATTCCTCTGAAAAGATGAAACTTGCTTCTTGTGTGCGCCGAATGTCTGACTCTATTGAAAAAAGGTTTTGCTTTGATGTCACATCAGTTGATAGGTTGGTGTCTTTGATTATTTTGTGAGAATCATTTCAAATTTAAAGTAATCCTCAACTTATTTTTTAAATCAAGAAGAGTTTTGTATATTCTAACACCTGTCTTTCATTTTTTTTCCTATTTTCCTTCTTTTAGGCCTGGTGTGGTTTACACACTTCAGGCTCTCTCTGAAGAGGATCGAAAGTTGTGGATGGATGTGATGGATGGCAAAGAGCCCGTAAGTGAAGAGCCTCTTCATCCTATGGTATGTTGCCGAATGGAGTTTGGCCATTGCATGCTGTAATAAAGCACAACACATTTAATTGGTAGACTGTAGGATGAAACTTGTAGCGTGATTGAGCGCATGGCTTGTAGATCCCATCTCCCCCTTCATGACTTCTGGACATTTACCTTGATTGAATCTTTTCTTCTTATGTGTTCGCTGATCATTGCATTTGCTTTTAAATTTTTTAACAATCTTGAACAACTTTAATCTTTTTCTTCTCTTTATATGAGAGACTGATTTTCTTACTGAAATTAGGTGCATGCATGAAATATGGTGGATTATGGTACTTCTCAATATTTGCATGACAGTTTGAGTACAGTAATTTGATTTTAATTTCTGTTTTCTGAATCTAAACTTATGATGTATTTTAGTCGTTTGTACTAATAGTCTTTACTGGCATGGCACAGTAATAGACATATGTGTGTGTTGTTTCGTGGATGATAATTTATTGTCCATGAATAATAACGGTAAAAGGTGTATCCTCTTTGCAAGTGCTAGCAAACTACAAAAAATCTAATTAGTTAGTAGTGAAACCTGAATAGTAAGACCAAGGTCTTAGCACTTTAGCACTACCATGTTCATGTTACCAACCCCATCAATGGAGCTTCGGCTCTTGGGGTGTACTGTTGTGATTTAAAAAAAAAAAATGGTCTCAGTGTTATATCCAGGTATTCTTTATAACCTGGTAAACTCCTATGACAAATTTGACTTGAGTCCTCTGAAAAGTTCCCTTATGAGGTCTTACTATCCAGGTTTCACATACTTCTTTTCATTAATAATTTACTAGTTATGGTTTTCGTCTTCTGCATTAATTCAAATCTAGTTACACCTTAGTCTCACAGTGGCCATCTCTTTTCGGTTACATACTTTTACAATAAGTGTTCGATTCCTGAGTGCATTCATCTTCTCGATTGAGAATTTTTGTTAATCAACATCTAGAAGATCATTATGATTGGTATTCTAGTCAAGTATCTTTCTTATGAAACAATCTCTTTTATAACTTGCAGACCTACACGCAACCTGGAAAAGTAGTTAAGGAAAGAGTTGAGGAGAGAGCCTTAGATGAAGTTGGATTTATGTTTGTAAACAAATGTATAGAAGCTCTTGACAGTCGAGGTTTGTATCCTTGTAGCAACTCTTTCTTTAAAAAAAAAAAAAAAAGTAAAATTTCAACTGTGACTAGGTTATTTGTGTTTTAATGTCTCCTTTATTCCAATCCAGGACTGGAAGAGCAAGGTCTTTACAGAGTCGTAGGAATAACTTCCAAAGTTTCTAAGCTACTATCCTTAGGGTTAGATCGGCGAAAACTGGAAAAATTGAATCTTGATGATGCTTTTGAATGGGAAAGTAAAACAATCACCAGTGCTCTAAAAACGTACCTCCGAAATCTCCCAGAACCTCTTACTACTTTCAGATACCACAATAGCTTTATTGCTGCTGCAAGTAAGTGATGTTGTTTATTCTACTTTTCAACCTCATACAGCACATTCATTATTCATCTAATCTTTGTTTTTGTACATTTAGAACAAGAGACACGGCAAATGAGAGTTAATGATGTTCATACCTTGATGCATCGGCTGCCACAGACCAATTTTAATATGCTAGATATACTTATTCATCATCTGACAAAGTGAGTAACAACTTGGTGCCAGTCTCCTAATAAAAGTAAATTGTTTAATTTACACTTTATTCCTTTTTCAGTGTTGCCGCAAAGTCTGATAAGAATCTAATGAGTGTCAGCAATCTTGGTGTTTGCTTTGGACCTACTTTATTACGCCCAGAGGAAGAGACTGTGGCTGCAATAATGGACATTAAGTTCTGTAATGTTGTTGTTGAAATTCTTATAGAAAATTATGAAAAGGTTAGTAATTAGCTTCCATTTTCGTATTTAATTAATTTGTATGCCCAGATTTTTACATATTACATGCTTACAGATCTTTAAAACAGAACCTGAAAATTTGGATTCAATCAACCCAGATGTTCGATTGGATGTGAAGAACGATGTTAGACCAGACACACGAATGGATCTGCGACCGGAATCAAGGCCAGAAATGCGGCCCGATTCCAGACCAGATACTCGATCATTTGTGAAGGCGGAGCCCACTTACATATCTACAACTCCACCTCATTCATTGACTCATGGCTTGGTTAGAGGACCACATCATGTATCACCTGTGCAACATCATGTGAGTATTTTGAGAGGAACTCAAAAGTATCTTGCTAAGGTATTCCAATTTGCTAATTTTGTTTTTGTCATTTTTATTAGGTGGGGCCGAAACTTCACTATGAAAGTGCAATGCGAGGTGAACTGAGTTCTTCACTAAGTTCCAGCATGCACAATGTAGCTAGTGGCACTCGGGAAGCAGAATATGTTATTCACCGATCGCACATTGGAGTTGATCACATGAGTAGAGAGCATGTTATTCCATCTCAGACATCACCTCAGCAAGCTCAGCCTCAGCAGCCTCCAGCTCAGAGGCACATGGTACGCCTTATGGGACCAAGCAGTCGGGCTACAGCATATTCTGAGGGAAATCTTCTGAGCCTGCAGCAGCAACAACAACAACAGCAGCAGCAGCAGCAGCAACAACAGCAACAGCAACAACAACAACAACAACAACAACAACAACAACAACAACAACAACAACAACAACATCAAATGCAGAAGGCGAAAGCTCAACCATTCTATGGAACACTAGGTATAGAGTGTTATTTCATCAACCTCTCTGTGTTGAGTTTTCTTCTGGCTGTTTATAGTCTTCAATCCTGTTTCAGTAAATGCAAGCCGTGCTGATGCTCTAAACAGTACCAGCAGTTCAAATGAATCAGTATCATCATTATCTTCAAGAGACATAAATGTTCACAATACTTATTCTGGTGTTACACCACAGAAAAGTAAACGAGGTGAGCAAAATGGGAAATAGAGGGGGGGGAGGGGGATTTGGAACACGCGTGATTTAAAGAATTTTTCATTACAAAAATTTGATTTACTCTACTTTTTATTATGCTAGGTGCTGTCGGTAAAATGGATTATCACTTTGCCACAAGTTACCATCCCCTTGAGGCAGTGTAAGTTCTGTTAAGAGTCAAACTATGAAGTAATATCATCAGTACCTTTTCTTTACTCAATTTGGTTTACAGGAGGAGAGTTCGAACACTTTATGCATGCCTGGGTGAAAATGATGGAGAGCTTTCATTTGAACCTAATCAAATTATTACCAATGGTGAGTTTTGCTTGCTTTACTTTTCATTACAATCTTCTCTGTGAAATGGTTAAAAACTATCATCTATTCTTCACAGTTCGATCCTCTTTGGAGCCTGGATGGTTGGAAGGAACCTTAAATGGAAAAAGTGGCTTAGTCCCTGAGAACTATGTTGAGGTGCTCCCATGACCAATGCATAGCCCTAGATTGGGATTAGGGCCTCAATCAGGGCCTTCAGTTGGGTTTCGCTCCGGATCTGCTTCTTCTAGCCCTTCCGCAAGTCGCACAGCATCTCCTATGACAGCGCAATGCAGTTTAAGTGTTTCAAGTGGTAGCTCTAGTGGTGCTGGTGCAGTTAGTCCTGTTATCGGGTTGCGGAGTGCATCTGCAGTTGCTGGACAACAAGGAGGTGGTATTCCTTTGAGAAGCCCGAGTAGGACACTTACTGGACCTCTTTCTAAAAAGAGTGCTGGTGTCATGAAGTCAGAGACTATGGCTTATGCAACTACTTCTAGCCGCACTGGTCAGGCAGGTCCTGGTCTCCTAAGTGGTGGAGGGTTCCGTAACACTGCTCCCTTTCCGAACTCAAGTGAACCAGCGCAAAGGAAGTCCCACCATTAAAATTGTGGGTCTACAACTCAATATTTTTTGACTTTTGGACAATGCTCTGTGAAAAGAATGCAGTTACATGTGTTTCTTAAAGCTACTGTTGGTTTACATTTTGTGTGTGTGGCTGCACTTAATACTCTATTGTCAATTATTTTTTGTGAAATAAGTTGAAACTTTTGACTGTTTTAAGATAGATTTTTATTGATATGACAAGAAAACGATGACATGCCTGTTAACATGGCAGAATTTGTCCTTTTGTATCTATTGTAATTAAATGGCAATGTCAATTTTTCAATGCTCATGGCCTTGTAGTCAAAACAACGTCAACGTCCAACATCAACATATCAGGATTATTGATAATTGGTATCTTGTCATTGAAACCTAAGCATCAGCTTGGGATGACTGCAGTCATGCTGTTCAAGTTTTTGAACATTTCCACAATTTGATGTATTAGCATAATATGTAGCTTACTGTGACAGCCTACGTTAAGTGCAGCTACTTTTGATTCTAGTCTCTAATTAGAGCACTCTCCAGTAATACTAAAATCGCCTGTAACCAATTCTGCTACTAACCAGGATTGAGAGTTCCGATCTTAATAAGTCCAAAACAGAAATGGGCCAAAGACAGCATACAAAACTGAGCTCTTATTATACTAGTCCATACTACTGTCATTGATATGACGTTTATTTTCATTTGACTATAAAGTAGACTTCTCATTTAATTTTATTCAAAGACCATTTTAAGTCCCATTAAGTACTGTGTATAATGTGAATATACAATTTGGAACCTTTTAACATTTAATCCATGTATAGGTATTTGCCTGATTATTTTAATCTTAAGTTTGACCAAAAGTACTCTTGTTCATATTTTGTAAAAATCTGTGTCTAAACTGAATCAATTAAGACATCATGAATGTAATGTATTTTCTCTATTTTGTCACCACCGACACACTCCTTTTGTCATGGTTCTTAACTGAAGTTGAACTTCAGTGGTTTTCAGACATAGCATATAGCGTATAACATAATTTAAGGAATAGTAAAAAAAAAAAATACTTCATGCTTGAAAAATTTCTAATTGACAATGAAGAAAACATGTAGGGAATTTCTTCTGCTGTTGTCTGCTTTATTTTGTCCGTTTTAGAAACAGCCTAAATCCCCACAATAGTACAGAGTGTCCCATTCAAGGTGTGATTTTGTGTCACATATTTGAATTTATATTGCTGAGCTAGGGAATACTTGGCCGTGTTTCTGGCCTTACAGTCTCAAATCGAAAACTCGCGTCGGAAATCTCAGAAAGATGAGCCAACCCCAGCCACTAGCCTAGCCACCGAAAGAAGACCACCGGTCGTGGACTTAAACTTGTGGTAGGAAAGTCTTGTCTTGAACGGGACACCCTGAAGTATCTGGTCACTTGGCTCCTTGTCAATTGTGTTGAGGATGAACTAAGGCTCTTGTATAGCAGAAAGAATCAATGTGCTATCTGTGTTTCCTGGCATTCAAATTCTAAACAAAAAGTACTGTAGCAATAATTTCTTGCTTGTTTTAGATGTCAGTTTTGCATTACTGTGAAATTTAAAATTTTGGATAAAGATTCGTTCTTTGCGGTATATTTCTCTATTTTCTATAATGTTTCTGCAATCATCAAACGCTTCATCTTTCATGTTGAATTGAGCATGTAGATGTTTAGGCTTCTTTGGATGTAGTCTAAAAAAAACTATCATATCTATTGGAAATAAGATAAATTTAGAATCTTGCAAAATGAGATGCTTCTCTATTTTTTCCAAATCTTTTATCTGTATCTGTGAGTGAAAAAGTGATATTCGACTCATTGCTTGTATTTGAATAAGGCAAAAATTGTTTGTGAATTTTGAGCCTCTTGTAGTTGTTCAAGAAAACAAATATTTTATTCTATATTTACTGGACAATTTTAAGCAGTATAGTTTAGTGTCTGTCTACTTTGGAACTAGATTCATATCATATTTTGTTTGTAGTCATTGGAATTCTTTTTCTCTTAGTATGGCAAGACTGAGTAAAATGTGATGGTTCAGTAGCAAAATGTAAGTCAGCATTTCATTCCATGTGAAATATTTTGTGAATTTTTTCTCAGTACAATAGATTTTAGGAGATAAAACAGGTATGAACACATTTTCTTAATCATATCCACAAAATCTGCCCCATTTCAAAAATGTGACTTAATAGGAGTAATTGCTTGAGACGTACTGAAGTATACCTATTCTGGTACGTACTTATAACTTTTCTTACATTTAGCTGAGAATGAGTGTTTTGGAGTTATTCTAATGCTTTTTATCACCTTAAAATTCAGTGTCGTAAGGGTTAATATACTGGGAAAATAGATGTACTGCTCCAGAGATCTTGTAATCAGTATTACGTTGCAGTGCTACATACCTGCCTAGCTGCAAAAACGCTAGGTGATAGAATATTTGTTTTTTTAATACTCTGAGTCTAGGTTGTTTCCTGGCAAGCGTACTTTATGAACTATATTTATTAATAATTGGCTGAGTGCAGTCTGACATGACATCGGCTGCTTTGTTTTTATTGTGAAACATTGTTCTTTTAATTAACTGAATGAAATATATGTTTATGCCTCCACCCATCACTTTGTGTTACTTCACTCTTTATTTGTGGAGCTATTTTTATATTTTGTGTGTTAATTGATGAAATTTTATTGCATGTTGTGTTTGCAATACTTGACATTCCAAATGATATAGGTAACTGAGTTGAGAGTCTATTGATTTCTCCTCTGTATGTAAATATTTTCTTCCATACCTTAAACTAATTTTTTCATTGATATTTAAAAACTATGCCATGAATGTTTGTTATCGTGAATGTTATTTTCTTTCTAGTTGTTCCTCTGCATTCAATCATTTGCAATGCATGTTAGTTATATATTGATGTCACTTGTTGTATTTATATTTACTGTCATATATCAACCTATAAAAGACATGTACGTGCGTATGTATGTTCTGTGCAATATATGACTGCGAATTTCAAAAACTAGTCATTGACATCACCTCCTGACTCCCCAATTCTGATTTGTGAACTCTATCGCTCTTGCACGAGACACATGGGGCCAGCGGTAGCGGCAGCAGAGCGGCCACCTCTCGGTCCCTAAAAACAACTGCGGACCGCTGGGCTGGACCAACCGAGGGAATGAAATTAAGTGAAGATTAATGCCCTGGGGATCTCGCCAGAACACGCCCCCCGCCCCCTCCCCCTAGGGGGGGCCCCCCTCGATCAACTGCAATACAGTATGAGGGGGAGGAACCACGAGCATGTTTGGTGCTTCCACCGCCGTCGTGCAGCAGTGTGCCCGTGCCAACGGAGACCGGCGTCGGCGGCAGCGTACTCCAACCAGCAGAGCTAGCGGACCAGGCCCCGGGGCCGGCACATATATAAATTGGACCACAATAAATTGCTTTGCGAGTCTGCCGACATGCCGGCGAGGCGGGGGATGGGGAGGAGAGGGGACCCCCCCCCCCCCCCCTCATCCCTTTCGCCACACCTCTCCGCACTTGGGTATACAGAGGGTTTTCCCCTTCCTAACTCTAAATTTTCACGGTTTGGTTGACTTGTCGCCTAGACGAGCAGTGGGAGGGGAGTCCCCCCGCCCCTCCCTTTTGCATAACGAGAAGTTACTTCTTTCTTATCGCGCCGGGTCGACGATACCGCCACCACCGAGGGGAGGGCAAGAGG